GCTTGAATATTTACAAATACAGCATTCACTGTGAGACTTCTTGTTTCTTTTCCTTTCTAAGACTTTTAACTTGTTTATTTTACGATTACATGAAACACATTTTATTTTAATTTTTAAAGTTTTAGTATTTTTTGAGACAAGGTCTCTTTCTGTTGCCCAGTTTGGAGTACAGTGGCATGAACATGGCTCACTACAGCCTCAACATTTTGGGCTCAAGTAATCCTCCAGCCTCAGCTTCACGAGTAGCTGGGACTACAGGTATATACCACCACACCTACCTAATTTATTCTTATAGTTTTCAGAGATGGGGATCTCACTATGTTGCCCAGGCTGGTCTTGAACTCCTGGGCTCAAGCAATCTTCCTGCCTCAGCTCCCAAAGTGCTGGGATTACAGGGATGAGTCTCCACACCCAGCCTTATTTAAATAAGGTTTGAGGAAACTTGGGTAGCTGGTTAAAACTCTGGCAATGATCTAGGCTTCAAATCACCAAATTCCTTTTTGCATGGTGTATAGACTCATGGCAACTCTTTTTTTAATAGATTTTATTTTGTAAAGGTGTACATGCTTCTTATTTAAAAATTAAGTAATACAGAAAAGTACAAAGTAAAATCCCAAAATTCTATCACCTAAAAATAACCATTATTAACATTATTCCACAAACCTTCCCTTTGCATATATACACAGAGAAATAAATTTACACAAAAGGCTCACACATACCGTACATAGTTACTAAATGAGGATGAAGCAAAATGAAGAAATTGAAGAAAATGAAGCTGAAACAAAATGAAGGAATTACCAAATTTTAGCTAAATGTTCTTTTGCAAGACACTTTAGTTCCTAACAATCCCTTTGAAGTTTTGAAAAAAGATTATGAAAAGCATTAAGAGTTTGAAAGTCTACATGATTAACCTTTTTTTTTTTTTTCTTTTGAGACAGGGTCTTGCTCTGTTGCCCACGCTGGAGTGCCTTGGTGTGATCATGGCTCATTGTAGCCTTGACCTCCCAGGCTCAACTGATCCTCCCACTTCAGCCTCTGAAGTAGCTGGGACCACAGATGTGCATCACCATGCCCAGCTAATTTTTAAAAATTACTTGGTAGAGACAGGATCTTCCTGTGTTGCCCAGGCTGTTCTTGAACTCCTGGAGGCTGGTCTTCAACTCCTGGGCTCAACGATCCTCCCACCTCAGCCTTCCAAAGTGCCAGGATTATAGGTGTGAGCCACCGTGGCTGGCTGGAAAGCTCTTACAATAGTGGCTGGCATATAGTAAGTACTTACAGTAAATTTAAGCCAATGCTATTATACAGGAATAATGGTGAGCATCTGGGCCCACATATGATATTGAAATCTGTCATTCACAAAATAATCTCTCTCATTCATCTCAGAATAATTTTCCTGTTAAATCTGCCAGTTCCTGAGGGGCCCTGAGGGTTTAACCAATGGGTATGTGGGCACCAATGTAATGAATGTGTGAATAGGTGATTCTGTCTTCTGTTTATAAGAATGGCCAGAACACAAAATTCTAGCCTTTTTACAATCCTAAACATATACAATGTGCTACCTATAACAGCAACAATCACCATTATGCATGTCACTTACATGTGCACAGTAACATAAATAACTATATCTCTGCTTTAAAATCCTCTTTAAAAGTAAACTATTAGCCTGGGTAACATGGTGAGACCTCGTCAACAAAATAAAAAAATTAACCAGGCACCTGTAGTCCCAGCTGCTCTGGGGCTGAAGTGGGAGGACTGCTTGAGCCCAGGAGGTCAAGGCTGCAGTGAGCCAAGATCATGCTACTGCACTCCAGCCTGGGTGCATAAAGTGAGACGCTGTCTCAAAAAAAAAAAAAAAAAAGGGTAAATTAACGTTAGTGTTTCTAAATACCCACCAAATTATAAAATTTATATTGTGTCTTCAGGCTTTTTTTTGAGATGGAGTCTCGCTCTGTCACTCAGGCTGATATGCAGTGGTGCAATCTCAGCGCACCGCAACCTCTTCCTCCTGGGTTTAAACGATTCTCTGGCCTCAGCCTCCTGAATAGCTGGGATTACAGGCGCGTGGCACCACGCCTGGCTTATTTTGTACTTTTAGTAGAGACGGGGTTTCACCATGTTGGCCAGGCAGACCAGCCTGACCTCAGGTGATCGGCCTGCCTCAGCCTCCAGCCAATATTGTGTTCAATGTTTTCAGTTTATTAATGTATAAATTAATTTTTTAAAATAAAAAAGCTTTATGAAAACAAAGGTAGATTTCACCTCCCTACCTTATTTCATGATGATTCCTGAATCTGAACTTCAAGGGAGTCGATGACTTTTACTTAAAGATGTTCTGGGCTGGGCGGGGTGGGTCATGCCTGTAATGCCAGCACTTTGGGAGGCCAAGGTGGGTGGATGGCCTGAGGTCGGGAGTTCAAGACCAGCCTGGCCAGCATGGTGAAACCTTGTCTGTACTAAAAATACAAAAATTATCTGGGCGTGGTGGCAGGTGCCTATAATCCCAGCTACACGGGAAGCTGAGGCAGGAGAATTGCTTGAACCCAGGAGGCGGAGGTCT